AAAAAAAAAAAAAAAAAAGAATGGAGAAAGGATCTTCTTGTAAGTTGGGAGGAGAGAAAAGTGTTATCCCCAATAAAGAACTAGTTAGAGGCTTTCTTTGCCTTTTGAGCACAGTAATATTAATAGTAACATTTGAGAACTTAGTACAAGCATTCTTTTTTTTTTCTTTCGAGGTTTCAGTCTAACTAACTGGGTGATTTTGAAATCTTGGTGACTTTCAGAAACTCACAGAAGAGAAATATCAAGTGGAACAATGTGTAAATGAGGCATCTATTATAATTCGGAATACAAAAGAGCCCACTCTAACTTTGAAGGTGATACTTACCTCACCTCTAATTAGGGACGAATTGGAGAAGAAGGATGGAGGTACACATGCATATATATGTATATATTTGTTGTTGTTATTTGTTTTCTTTATATAAAAGCTATGTTAACAGTGTTTTATGGATTTAGGAAATAACCTTCATTTGCTTTATGCCACTCTTTAATAGTATTTTAAATGGTTTTGTTTCTACATAATTGGTATATTTTGCAAAAATGTATGAATTCAAAATATAAAATGTTAATTCAAAAACTTGTGCTTGTCATGTTGATTTTAACTCTGCTTTAATTTTTATGTCATTTAGTATTCTGTTTTACTTTGTCTAGTATTGCATTAAGTTATTGGTATCAGCCAACTTAATTCTGTGTATTTTGGCTTAATGGTCAGATTTCAGGGTTAAACATGGTCCAAAACAGAATTGTTTTCAAATTTGCTCATTGTTCCAAAATTATTTGCATCCTGGCTGGGCACGGTGGCTCATGTCTGTAATCCCAGCACTTTGGGAGGCCGAGGTGGGTGGGTTGCTGGAGGCCCGGAGTTTGAGACCAACCTGACCAGCTTGGCGAAACCCTGTCTCTACTGGAAACACAAAAAAATTAGCCAGGCATAGTGGTGAATGCCTCTAATCCCATCTACTTGGGAGGCTGAGACACGAGAATTGCTTGAACCCAGGAAGTGGAGGTTGCAGTGAGCTGCACTCCAGCCTGGGAGACAGAACAAAACTCTGCCTCAAAAAAAAAAAAAAATTACTTGCATCATATTGCTCTTGACTTCTAATAGCTATATTATCTGGTAAGATTTGTACTCATCTGTGTCTAGATTTGTTTTATAGTGTAAGGGATGTAAATTGGAAGATTGAATTTCTTTAATGGATAATGTTCAGTAAATTTTTTTCTAGGGGGTTTGTGACCCTCTTAACATTTTGAATATGGTTTATGTGAGAATCATGCTTTAAATTTTCTTCTGAAGTTAAGAAGAGTTGCTCTTTGGCAATGTCATCCTCATAAAAGTAGAGTGAGAAATCTATTCAGTTATTAGTAGTTTTGAGAAGTTCATGATGGAGTTGTGGTGGGCTGCTTTTTCTGATGTTCTTATCCTGTCAAGTTAGCTTGTTTCTGCCTCTCGTTCCCTTGAAACTTGCCAGGTGATATTTCTCCTGTGTCAAACCTTTGACCAACTGGCCACTCTGTCATGACAATTTACAGCCTCTCTGGGCCAGTGGAGACTCCCTGTTGCTATTTTTCATCACTAGACTTTCAACAAGTCCCATTGCTTACTCCCTTATCTGAAATACCTGTGCTGCAAGAAATATTGGTCAGTTTCTTAATTTATTTTAACTTAGTGGTAAGGGTAGAGAAAAAGGTACCAGTGAAGTTGGAATTTTAATTTTTGAGAGACATGACTCATAGGATGACATAAAGGTGCTAGACTCTTTTTAAAAAAAATGTTTTTGGGATAACTAAAGTCAGCTATATCATAATCCAGCAGATACAAACCAGACGTATTTATGAGTCATATTTTAAAATCAAAGGACATCCAGTCTATAATTGAATTTATGCCTATACATTAAATTTTTTTTTGCTGTAATGTAGTATCTATAGCACCTCTGAAGAACCAATCTTAAATGGCTTAATTTTTTTAACAGCTTTACAGTTCACCATTAACTGTAGAACTATAAAATGATTTCTGAAGTGTCAAGATAAATGTTAATTCTGGTAAGATGTGTTCTTCTTGACCCTCTAGTATAAAACCAACCATTTCTAAGTCGTGTTGTAATTATAGGTATTGTTAAAAATTATGAGAGTTTAGTGAGGTGAGAAAAAGACTGAAGTTGCCAAAGCCTAGGTTAATTACATGTTTGCTTATATCTGTCAGCCTCCCTTTAATTTCGTTTTTGAAAGTATTAAGGGAACATCAGTATTCTTTATCCCTGTGGTTTGGTGTACTTATGTGAGATTTTGTTACAGCTTTCAGTGATACCTTTAAATTTAGTCTGTTGCCTTTATAACTTCTGTTTAGAGAAGCTGAAAACATTCTTAGTATATTGTACCCTTGCTGGAACACTATTATAGAATAGATTTTGTAATAAAGTAAGAGAGTCATAGTCTCTGTTCAAGGTGTTTGAGTTGCTAAAGGATCGAAAAACCTCTATGAGCTGAGTCTCGTCAGCAATTACATGGGATCAGGTAAGGTGAAGGAATCGGCTTTGATCTAATGTTTTACACATTTTACTTCCTTTTCTTTTGAATGGCAGAAAGATTTGCTTTGCTGTTGTCCTTAACATTCCAGTCCTGTTGACTCATTTGATATCTTTTCTAATTTGCTCATTTTGTCTAACCTGGGTTTTGTCAAAGATAATTTTTGATCTTTGCTACTGGCTTGCACATTCCTGGGCAACTTGGAGGATCTAGTATATAATTGAGCATTTCAGACCTGGGCTATACCATTCTGTTTTCTCACACTAGACAGCTGCTCATCCCCTTAATGCAATTCTTTTCAACTGCATGGGTTAAAAGCACAAGATTCATTCAGGTTCCAGGAATTTCTGGGGTTGAAAGTTATCCTTTTTTTTTCTCTTAATTTATACTCATTTTTTCCTCAAAGTTAAAAAAAATCCATTGTAACTTTTTTCTTGGAGACATTTTCCTGTAGTATCTTAACTTTCTTTCACCTACCCCTACCCAAACAAACTGTTCACAATACATACACACCTCACATCTTTCTTTTCTCTCTCTTAACTTGCCACATATTTGGGTAAAATCTAAAAAAGAAAACAAAAGCATGGTTGGGAGCAGACAGAACCAGAGGACTGGGGCATGAAACCTTTTTCCTCAGGATTGTGCAGAATGGATCTAACTACCTACTCATTTCAAATCACGGTTTACATTTTAAATTGCTGTAATACAGAGTGAATCTCTTTGGTATTACATAATGTTTCATAGGTAAGTTTCTTCCTATGCTGTCAGTCTTCTTTCTGCATTCTAACCCTTTACATGAAGGCCCTGTAGAATAATCATTTCCTCATTACTACGTGTTTCCTGCTAATGAAGGCATAGGAGAAAAAGCACAGATCTTGGTGTGCAGCAGTCTTTTGTTTGGCTTTTTTTTTTTTTTTTTTGTTTTTTTTGTTGAGACAGTCTCGCTTTGTTGCCCAGGCTGGAGTGTACTGGTGTGATCTCAGCTCACTGTAACCTCCGCCTCCTGGGTTCAAGCGATTCTCATGCCTCAGCCTTTTGAGCAGCTGGGCCTATAGGCACATGACACCATGACTTGCTAATTTTTTGTATTTTAGTAGAGACGAGGTTTTGCATGTTGCCCAGGCTGGTCTCAGACTCTTGAGCTCAGGCAGTTTTCCTGCCTTGGCCTCCCAAATTGCTGGGATTACCGGTGTGAGCCACTGAGCCTAGCCTTGCTTGACTCATAACTCCATTAGTTGCTATTGCTGTGTGACCTTGGGTAGGTTTCCTCATTTTAAATTGTAGATTATAAAAACCTTAGAAAGTTGTTTTGAGGTTGAGAGAATTTATCTAATGTGACTTGTACAATAACTGGCACATAGTAGTTGCTCAGTAAATAGTAGTAGTCAATTTATTGAAGATTGACAGCACAAACCCATCTACTCAAACTCTTAACAGTGAAAATAATGTGCACATGGTAGGTCCAAAGAAGTCAACTCAAGCACAGTTAAACTTTTAATCACTGAGTGGTTTGTAATATTCTAATCAGATTTATATAGTGCTAATAAAAAAAACCTGGTATATTGTACAGCTTATGATTCATTGAGGGCAGGTGTCTTTTTGCCTGTTCTTTATCCTTAGCACCTCTAAGGGTACCTAATACATAGTAGATGATTTTTTAAAAAAGTCCTATAAATCTGTTAAGTGAATTAACAGAGTCATCATATTGTCTGATTAAATAGGACTCTCCAGTGTGTAAGAAGCATTAATGGGCATCTCATGGCTCAAGAAATATATATTGGAGATTAATCTCTGTTAAGATATATTTATAACCATGTGATAAGCACTTCCTCATACATGATTTATTTTAAAAGCCCTCACATGGTCCTATGGGGTAGCTAATTGCTCTGTTTTATAAATGAGGAAAATCTCACATTTTATTCAGCTCCCCTGACTCTACCTCTAGTATGTGGTCTACTTTCCCATTATTGTCTAGGATTACTGCCTAAGTGGTTAAGCTGATCTAGTCATTCTGAGCTTCACATAGAGTCTCAGTTTCTTTTGGTGCTTGTGATTTTAAATTAGAAATATATTTGCTATTAAAGTGGATGATAAATTATCTGCTTATTTATAATGCAGTTTGAAACCAGGTGGATAAGGAAACTACAGAGACCCTGTGGCTTAGACTTAAGATAAGCCTCTCTCCTCAGTAATGGGGTGGATTTTCAGGGCTTCACAGAGGAGTTGCCTCAGAGTCCCTTCATATTGGTGCCAGTGTGAACTCTCTCTTCTTGGCAGAAATTTACTAGCATATATCTTGCTAGGGTCAAGGCAGTAGGCTTTACAGGATAGCCATCACAGCTGTGATTATAATGATGCAGGAGGCTTTATTTTCCTGCCTTCACTGGCTTCTGGATCTTCATTATTCAGGGCAAACTTATTATTATTTTTTAAGATGGAGTCTCATTCTCTTGCCAGGCTGGAGTGCAGTGGCACAATCTTGGCTCACTGCAACCTCTGCCTCCTGGGTTCAAGCGATTTACCTGCCTCAGCCTCCTGAGTAGCTGGGACTACAAGGTGCACACTACCATGCCCAACTAATTTTTATATTTTTAGTAGACATGGGGTTTCACTGTGTTGGCCAGGATGGTCTTGATCTCTTGATCTTGTGATCCTCCCGCCTTGGCCTCCCAAAGTTCTGGGATTAACAGTCATGAGCTACTGCGCCCTGCCAATCCAGGGCAAACTTTTAGGCACTGTCTTTCCAGTGGCTGACTGTCACTGAAGAAAAGTCATACCAAGTGACATTAAAATTAGGAGAACAGTTCTTTCTCTGTTCTACCTTATTGCTACATTTACCTCTGTGTGTGTGTGTGTGTGTGTGTGTGTGTGTGTGTGTGTGTGTGTATTTTTTTTGAGATGGAGTCTCATTCTGTCACCCAGGCTGGAGTGCAGTGGCATGATCTTGGCTCACTGCAACCTTCACCTGTTGAGTTCAAGCAGTTCCCTGCCCCAGCCTCCTGAGTAGCTGGAATTACAGGCTCTTGCCACCATGCCTGGCTGATTTTTGTATTTTTAGTAGAGGCGGGGTTTCACCATCTTGGCCAGGCTGATCTTGAACTTCTGACCTCGTGATCCACCCGCCTCAGGCTCCCAAAGTGCTGGGATTACAGTTGTGAGCCACTGGGCCCAGCCTACCTGTTTATATTATTATGTGCCCATGTTTTTTGCTTGGGACATGTCTTCTCTCCAGAAAGTTTCAAGGAATTGAGAGACAAGGGGCTGCCAGGATATTCTTAGGCTAATTAGAAAATTCTGTCAGCATAGACTTAGTCGCTCAGTTTAATCTTGATTGTCAAGGAGCCCCCTCATGATACTGAGCTCAATTATTTAATTTTGAAGAGCCCAGGTTCCAGACGTATAACTCCTGTTTAATGCCATCATGTTTTGTTTTTTTTGCTGTTCCCATCTCCAGGCTATTGTTTTGTTAACAGGGGTAGATAGTTAGCTTGCATGTAAGGCATTGAGAGAAACTGGCCAACGTTTCCTGCAGTGTGATGTGACTCTGGTCACTGATTTGACCTCTAACCAAATGAGCATGGTTAGGCATAATAGACTTTCCAGTGCTTCCATTGCCAGAATGTTCATTCCCTGATGCTAGGTTACTGAATAATACATTTTCTTAAAAGCTGTATTCCTGGCCAGGCTCAGTGGCTTATGCCTGTAATTGCAGCACTTTGGGAAGCCAAGGCGGGCAGATCACCTGAGGTATAGAGTTTGAGACCAGTCTGGCCAACATGGTGAAACTCCATCTCTACTAAAAATACAAAAAATTAGCCAGGCATGGTGGTGGGCACCTGTAGTCCCAGCTACTCAGGAGCCTGAGGAAGGAGAATCGCTTGAACCAGGATGTGGAGGTTGCAGTGAGCCGAGATCATGCCATTGCTCTCCAGCCTGAGCAACAAAGTGAGATTGTCTCAACAACAACAAAAAAGCTATATTTCTTTGCTTTTGGCATTTTTGTCACCCTCCAACCCCTGCCTCCCCTGCTTTTTCTTACCTGTTTCACTGGTCACTGTCGGAGAAAATGAGATGACTGACAGTTCTGTTGCTGCTAATTGAGAACTCCAAGACGTGTTATCAGAAAAGTTTTGATTCTCAAAATTTAAACACCTACATAAAAGTTCAGAAATATTAAACTTAAGATTCTGCTACCAGGAGTAACAGTGTTTTCCCAGCAGCAGCTTTGCAATTGTCACGTTAAATGAAGTTTTTTTAAAGGAATGAAAATATATAAAAAAAACTTTATGTTATTAATTATATAAAGGAAATAGATAATCTGTGCTTATAAATAGCACTGTATTACCATATGAATTTATATTATTTAATATTAAGAACTTGGAAAAAGATAAAATGAGATGAATTGTGTCTCCTCTACTGTTTCCTATGTCCTGATACTGAAACCATTTTGGATCTTTTGACTTTCTGACTATCAGAGCATGATGAAACATGGTCATTCTGGTGATGATGAAAAAGGGAATCTGGTGCAGGTCTTCTGTTCAGTGCCTGTCCCTTTCATCTCTTTTTCGTAGAATCTATTGTCTTCAAATGTTGACTGTCTGTAGCAAGCCAGTGTTGCAGTTTTCTAAAATAAGAGCTTGTGGTTATAACTTGACATAATTTATCAAAATATTTTTTGCCATTGTCTCCCATTAAAAATATATGTGTTATAATCAGAGTAAGATGCTAATTATAAGCTCTGATCCCTGGATGAAAGTATTAGAAAATACAAGAAGAATTTTGGCTTGCCTTGCCTTTTCCTATCCTCTGCCTCACTTCCCTCTTCCATTGTCTCCCTCTTCCTGACATTCCTGCTTGGTAAGATGATAGAATAAAATTTAGCTTGCCATTGTATTCATTTAAAAATTGACATTTAAAAAATTATGGTCCATACTGTTTATTGGGATTACATTATTCAGCAGTCAGTCAACCTTTGTCATGTCTAACTCTTAAGAGATTCTAAACATTCATTTACAGTACTTTGTTTTATCTGATATGTGAGCTTTACACAGATGCTTGTATTGACCACAGTTAAGCATTTTGACATAAAAACATTAAAGTGAGCTACTTGTCTATCTTGGATCACTATAAAGACAAAATTGGGCAAGTCCAGGAGCTTTATCACCTATGAAATAAATACCCATAGTACATTTGTTTATAAATAAATCCAGAGTAATAATCCTTTTTGAGGCTTCCCATTTTATGGGTAAAAGGGAGTAATGAAACATTGTATTCTGATTTTGTTACAATGCAAATAACTGCTGTAGAGCTCACCTGGTCAGAAAATAAGTGTGTAGCACTTCAACCTTTACAGTGTCATGGCCAGTAAAGAGAACCACAATTCTTCCTTTAGTAAGTGTGTTTTCTATTGGCATTATGCTTTATTTAGTTAATGACATTTCATCAGTTAGAATAAATATTGGCTGGGCATAGTGGCTCACGTCTGTAGTCCCAGCACTTTGGGAGGCCAAGGCAGGTAGATTGCTTGAGTCCAGGAGTTTGAGACCAGCCTGGGTAACATATTAAGATACCATATCTATAAAAAAAAAAAAAAAAACTAGCTGGTCATGGGGGCACATCCCTGTAGTCCCAGCTGCTCAGGAGGCTGAGGTGGGAGGATTGCTTGAGCCTGAGGAGGAGGTTACAGTGAGATTGTGCCAGTGTACCCCAGCCTGGGTGACAGTGGAAGAACCTGTCTCATAAAACGAAAAAAAAAAAAAAAAAAAAAAAACATTGATTGCTGTAATAGGATCCTCTGATAACTGAAGAAATCAAAAAGTATCAGTGCTCTTGTCACCCATTTGGAAATATATACATTGTATTATTTGGCCCACACAAATGGACAAACATAATCCAATCTGTTATTATCATGATAATGCTGGGAAGAAGTGTTTGTGGGCTGTGTTATGTTACTGTTAAGGCAAGCTGAATAGCCATAATAAGTATTCTTTGTTTGCTTTTTATTTTAAAAAGGCATATAAAACTTGAAATATAGTTCACTGTACTTTATGTTTTTAGTTTTAATAATTTTGGTTTGGAATAGGGAATTCCAAAATGATACTTAAATTTTCAACCATGGGATAAAGTTTCCATTAATCGTTATCTTTATTGAATGAGTTTATAGTATAAAAAAAATGGTCATCCTCAGTATAGTCTCAGTATATCTCATTGATTACATAAGAGATAAGAGATTTCCAGTTTTCCTGGAATCTCCCAGTCAGAGATCAAAATTTCTTCTGTTAAAAACGTCATTGCTGTTGGTCCCAGATTTCCCTTCTTTGCATCTTGCCAAAGGAAAAAGTGCTATGTACTTATTTTGTGCCCTGTGATATTATACATGCTTAATAAGATCCCAGATTGTAAGTGGCAGCTGTCAATGATTTGTTTACTGAATGATTTTTTTAATGCTTCATTGTATTTGTGTGCAGAACTACTCTGATTACTTAATAATAATCATAGTACACATAATTTTTTTTTAAAAAGCAACACAGCCAAATCAGGAAATTTTCTGGGAGTCTTATTAGTTCACTCAAATGTTGTTACTCTTTTTATTTTTTACTGTTTGATAATTTGATAGGAATCCCTTGGTCAAATTTTATCTGTCTCTCTTTATCCCATTTTACCATTAGAAAATGTTTCGATGAAAGATCCTCCGGACTTATTGGACAGGCAGAAATGCCTGAACGCCTTGGCGTCTCTTCGACATGCCAAATGGTTTCAGGTTGGCTTTTTGTTACTATCTTATTGTTATTATATCCTTGTGCAAGTTTCATTTGGAACACCTGTCACTTACTGGTTTCCGTGTACTACATAAAATGAGGGATGCTTTCTGGCTCATACCTTGGTTGTTGGAATAACTGAGTTAATTTAGATAAGTGCATAGTATAGCTTCTACTATAGTTCATGATGTTTTATTATCATAGAATTCTTTTTAGCTTATGATTCTGAATTTCAGATGGGTTGCTTATAAAAATTAAACATGAATGAGAAAAACTAAGAGTTAAATTAGGTAGTTGCCTGAAGTGGGGTTGCCATGAGACTATGAAACCAATTTTAAGATTATGGTCCTTTTGTTTTAAAAATCTGTCTCTTTTTTTTTTTTTCATCTGCCTTTTTAAACCTTAATTTTACTACTTTTGATTACTTGATCTTTTTTTATTGTTGTTGTTTGCTTGATAACTGATGAATAATTTGCTACTTCATATTCACTTGAAAGAACCTGCCCAAAATGAATAATAGATCTCAATAGGGATATCTGGAATCATTTTGTTTGTTTTAGGCAAGGGCAAATGGATTAAAATCATGTGTAATTGTCCTCCGCATTCTGCGTGATTTGTGCAACAGAGTCCCCACGTGGGCACCATTGAAAGGATGGGTAAGTACTTAAATATGGCTAAAAGCAAATTTGGAAGGTGCAGCAGAGAAAATCCTGTAGAAATGAGATTTACTTTAAAATGGCTATCTTCTAAGTTAGCTAAGGCATGTGTTACATATGTTTGCCATGCAAAAAACTAAAGCATCTTTTTAAATGAATTCTTCTTTTGTGCATATAAGCTGTATCTTCTACCTTATCGTATTCATGTTACAGAGTGTGAAACTTTTTTTTTTTCGACAAAAAGGTTTTATACCTTTTAGAAGTGTGTGTCTCCTTACACTTGACTGTGTACTGGTGGTTAATCACTTACTGCTCACCTGCTGTTCGCAAAAGCCTCCTTGGCTGACCCATTTCTTTTTAGGTGCCCCCTTGCATTACAGTGAAAATTACCCAGTAGGCCAGTATAAGGATCCTATACCTCTGTAGCCTTCTCTTTGAGTGGAGACATTTACAAATAAGTTCATGCTAATAATTAAAGTCAGGCAAGCAGTACACTTAACCCCGTATGGATATCATTTATTGTGTGTGTGTGTGTGTGTGTGTGTGTGTGTGTGTGTGTGTGTGAAAATTGACTTGGAAATTTTTATACTTGCTCCAATCAAGACAACTTAAGGACATTATAAAGCAATCTAAATAAAGCCATGAAAGGTGATATTATAAATGAATGTAGCAATTATTACTTTGACAAAATATTGTGAGTTCTTAGTTTATTCAACATGGAGATTTGGTCCTTTGTTTATTCTAACTGTCATACTTTAGAAGCAGGCTGTCTGAAATGAAGTCTTATTATTGAAACATTTGTGGTTTGTGTGCTTCCTAAGTGGGAGATAGGTGAGCTGGGTTTTGTACACTGGTTAGTTATTAGCTGTTACTAACTTATGTGAAGGCTTATTAAATCTTTGTTAAATGAATTAGATACCATAGTTTCTTTAGTGATCCTTTTTGGGTAAATAAATATAAAGTTTTTGTTATAAAAATGTTTTCTGAAAATGCTGTCTTAAATGCTTGATTTAAAAACTCCGCCCAAGGTAAACGTTGATAATCATGGGGAAAATGTTAAGTGGGCCCTAAATGTTAAATTGAGTTTCACTTTTTGGCCTCCCTTGTAGATAGAAATGTTAGCTCACATTTAACTGGAATCCTTTTAACACTTGGTGCATGTACTAATTTGTAATTTAATATCTTCTAGCCACTAGAACTTATATGTGAAAAGTCTATAGGTACTTGTAATAGACCTTTGGGCGCTGGGGAGGCCTTGAGACGAGTAATGGAGTGTTTGGCATCTGGAATACTACTTCCTGGTAAGGGTTTCAAACTCTGGAAGCAGAACGATCAGCAACTCTCATTTTAGTTTATTTTTCTAAATAACATGCTAAGTTTGTCCTCTACACAGGAGAATGATGCATAGGAATTCTTTTGCTTGGAATTTTGACAACTAGAATGTGTGTTGGAAAAGTGCTATAAAACTCTTTTTCAATAGTTATAATTTGTGTTTTATATGTACTAACATAAAGGGTACTAATAATATATTGTGTCTGCTTTGAATTTGCTTTACCTCGAACTCTGAATTTGAAATTACAGGTGTTTAGTTAAAATTTTTAAAGTTCATTTTGTTTGTAGTCCGGTTTTAAATTTGGAAAAATTAAATTTGGTTTTATTTTCCATATGTAATCCCTTTTAAGATTTGGGCTGATTTATTGTGCTGTTTCTAAATTCTCAGAGTAAGACTCAGTTTTGGCCTTAGATATACAAGTGACTTCTAGTATAAAATAAGGATGTGTAAGTGCTAACATGTTGAAAATAAGAGGGTGTCCTTTTTACTCCACTTAGCTGAGCAGACTTTTAACTTAGTTCCTCAGTTATTTTTTATTTTCTTTTCATTCTCCCCAACCATCTCTTTTTGTTTTAGTTTACCGAATTCTAAACTCAGTTCTAAATGATACTTGTGTTTTTCCTTTGCCAAAGGAGGTCCTGGTCTTCATGATCCTTGTGAGAGAGACCCAACAGATGCTCTGAGCTATATGACCATCCAGCAAAAAGAAGATATTACCCACAGCGCACAGGTAGAAGATTGAACATATTACTCTGACTTACTAGCAAGAGAATGTAACCTGGTTTTCTCAATTATTGTGTTTGAACACTTTTTTCTTGTGTGTTGTTAGGGACTTCTGCTGTTATAATGCCAAAATTTATGAGTATCTTTTTAGTTAGATATTCTAAGGGCTTTATGAATGGCTATTGAAATGTGATTAAATATAATGCTTTGTCCTTTAGCATGCACTCAGACTATCAGCCTTTGGCCAGATTTATAAAGTGCTGGAGATGGACCCCCTTCCATCTAGTAAGCCTTTTCAGAAGTATTCCTGGTCAGTTACTGATAAAGAAGGTGAGCGTGGAAGTTTTTTTTACTAGGGTTGGGGGTTGGCACTGATGTAGATGGTTGTGGGGTGGATCTCTTGTTACAACTTAGGGAACGTAATAATTGTGTATCCAAGTCATGTATAAGCCGTGATACAGGTTGGCAGTGTTCCCACCCAAATGTCATGTTGAATTTAGTTCCTATAATCCCCACATGTTGTGGGACTGACCCAGTGGAAGGTAATTGAATCATGGAGGCAGTTACCTCCATGCTGTTCTCGTGTTAGTGAGTGAGTTCTCACAGGATCTGATGGTTTTATAAGAGGCTTTTCCCCAACTTTGCTCCACACTTCTGCCACCATGTGAAGAAGGATGTGTTTGCTTCCCCTTCTGCCGTGATTGTGTTTCCTGAGAGCCATGTGGAACTGTGAGTCTATTAAACCTCTTTCCTTTATAAATTACCCAGTCTCAGGTATGTCTTTATTAGTAGCGTGAGAATGAACTAATACAGTAGCTAGAACAGACTAATACACTGACTTTCTTCTCCTTTGTTCCCATCAGGTAACATCAGCTGATGTAACATAATCATGTTTTCTTATTAGTGACTAATTCATTTGGCTATGTTGGCCAGATTTCATTATTGCATAGATTTAGGGACTATACTTTGAGAACTCCTGGTCTAAGGAAAAGAAATCAACCATAAGCTAGGAGGAGACATTATCACTATCACTAATCAATTTGATGATCTTTCTCATGCTTGGAAATGTTATCTAACCGAGAAAGAAAGAACAAAAATACAGAGGAGAAGAAAAGCGTATGGGAAAATTCAGGATCATCTCCATTTGTATTAGTCTGTTGAATTCAGAGTTTCTGTGGAAAGAACGTAGGTTTTGGGGTCAATATGGCCTGGGTTCCAATCATAGATTCACCACTTCCTAGTTTTGGGCCTTAAGCAATTCACTCATCTCTCTTACTAGGGATATTACCCTTTTTCTTATTTTATTGGCTCTTGTCAGGTTAAAATGCCTGACTTGGTGCCTGGAATCAAATGTGAATCTACTTACTGTTTTTTTTTAGGCCTCCAAAAATATCTTATTTCCCCCTCTTTCTCTCCTGTTAAACTAGCAAGTGGAATATTTAATACCAGATGTTCTTTACCTGGAATGCAGGCTACCTCTTAACAACTGAAATTACTCTAGTATATCACAAAAATAGTGCAGTTGCCCAATCTGTTTGTTTAGACGAAGACTTTCAGAGAGTCTACAAAGTCAAGCTGTTTAGTAGTAACAATAATATTAAGGTTTTTTTTTTTGTTTGTCTTTTTCACTCTTTCTTTTCTAAGTGTATAGTTTTGCAGAGGCTACATGTGACATGTGATGAGATCTTTGGTCTGATGGCTAATGGAATTTTTTCTATCTTCTTGTGTTTATATTTTTTTGTTTTATTTTTAATATGCTCAATATTGACAGATATTACCCACAAAGCATAAGTCTTTGGGTGCTCAGTAATTTTTAAGAGTGTAAAGTACTCCTCAGCTAAAAAGTTTGAGAATCATTGCCTCACACTGTAAATTCCTCAGGGGAAAGGATCCTCCAGATTCTACTGTATGATTATTATAAACCAATGCTCAATATAACTTGAGGAATGAAGGCCATTTTCTTCCAGCAGTGCTTACTCAGTGGTGAAGAAATTATTGAAAGGGATTTATATATCCATGTGACATCAAGCATTATGTCTATGAATTGAACGATTTAATAAAAATTTTATATATATTCTTGATTAGTATCAGAAAATTTCATTTCAGTCACCAAATTCATAATCACTCTTTTGGTTTTATATTTTCACCTTCACTAGATAGTAAAAGTATGTTTACTGTTATGTGACTTAGGTTTTTTTTTTTTAAATTTAAAGATCTTTCTCAAAGTTTGGGACTGCTGGTTTTTCAGTTGATAGCATAAATAGAACCAGACTGCCAATGTTTCTTTTCTAGTTCTGTCAGTTACTAGCTACATGACCTGAGCAAGTCACTTTACCATTTTTTGTGTTTTGGCTATACAATGATCTTTCTAATACTTTCATGCTTTTAGCATCTAGCTCCCTGTTCTTTATTCCTGCTATTCTTGGTGATTTCCGTATGCATCTCAGATGATTTCTTTCAATACTCCAGTGTCTCAGTTCTGTGACTTCCTCTCTCACAAATATTTTATCTTCTGCCTTACCTTAATTACTCATTCTATGTACATAGCCTAGTTCTTGTCTTCATCAGTAACTGAACCTGTATTATTTTCATAATCGTGTTTTCAAGAATCCCACTTTCCAATCTCTTATCATTACTCAGTCTCCTACCCTTATTTCAATTCTTGATTGATTCCAATACCTTTGCGTAGTCCTTCATCCTCCCCATGTTCTCTCTTCTGTCATTACCCTGCTCGTACTACATGATCCTTTTTTTTTAATTCGGAAAAAAAAAAAGAAAGAAAGAAAAAAGAATAATTAAAAAAAAAAAAGAATGAAGGAGAGGAAGAAAGAGAAAAAAAAAAAAAAAGAATGAAGGAGAGGAAGAAAGAGAAAGAGGAAGAGGGAGAGAGAACGGGGGTGTTGCTTTATTGCCCGGGCTAGAATGCAGTCTAAAAATGGGTATGCCTATAATTGTGCTTAATAATAGAGACATGAAAAAAAAATGAGAGAAGAAAATAAAAAACAAGCAGCCAACCAATATTTCATTTAAACCTGTAAATAGATGTGATGTGGTACTGATAAGAGTGTATATTTTGTGTATTTAAAGTGGAGAGTTCTATAAATGTTAATTAAGTTTACTTGTTCCGGATCTGAGTTCAAATCCTGGATATCGTTGTTAATTTTCTGTCTCATTGATCTAATATTGAAGTTGAAGTCTCCCACTATTATTGTGTAGGAGTCTAAGTCTCTTTATAAGTCTTATATATCTGGGTATTCCTGTATTGGGTGCGTATATATTTAGGATCTTTAGCTCTTCTTGTTGCATTGATCCTTTTATCATTATGTAATATCCTTCTTTGCTTCTTTTGATCTCGTGATCCTTGATTATTACTCCCTAACATATACCTTCACTTCCTTGATTCTCTGTTTCTGGCAAAATTCTATCTAGTTGAAATCTGTCTCTCTACCTTCTCTATGTCTGTACTGGATTGCTGAACATGGCTGGAGAAAAAAAAAAAAGCACAGCCATCTTGAGCATTCTTCCTTTAAGTCTATGACACTAATATAATGGGGACTATTTGTGTTGCCTGGTGATCCTGTAAGTTTGAGACTTCTCCAGTTTTCCTGTATAACTGTTTTACATTTTCTCACATTTCACACTTCATTCTCTGTTTACTCACCTGATGAGCTTGTTTGCTTCTATTTTCTCAGGTAATTATTAATTAGATAATTTCTACATGTACTCATCACTGTCTCCAAGCCCCACTGCAACAACTCCTATTCTTTGCTTTTCCCTCCCTTGCCTATGTAGAAACTGCCTCGCCTCTTAAGACTGACCTTTTACTTACCCACTGTAGCATATCCCCTCTTGCCTACCAGTGGACATTAGTCTAGCAATTATCTCTTCTCTCACCAGCGTCAGTTCCTCCCTGTCTACTGAATGCTTTTCATCAACATAAAAACCTGCTGTAGTATCTCTCATCTGAAAGACAGAGCCAAAGCAAACTCTCCCTTGATTTTGGAGGTCCTGCAACAGTTATATTTCTCTACTCCGCTTTATATAAGGAGTACTTTGGGAAGGAGCAGCCTTTTTATCTTTTCTCCATTTCCTTACTTTTAATTCTCATTGAACCTGTTCTAATCAGGTTTTCTTCCTCACCAGTTACCTGAGGTATCTCTTGTGACCTTCACATTACTGCATTCACTGGTCAGTTTTCAATCCTCATCTTAGCCAGCTTTTCAGCAACATTTGACACAGAGGAACGCTTTTCTCTCCTATATTTATTTTATAATGAGATATAGAACATATATAGAAAAATACACAGTTTAAAAAATAATATTTTTTACAAACCCATAAAATCAGTGTCATGTTTAAGAAACAGAACTTTATCAGTGCCTCAGAAGCCATCATTTATCGTTCTCATTACCTTCCGGTACCAAGAAGTACCATTTCTGACTTTCTGATAATCATTTCCTAGATTTTCTTTACCACTTTCCCACCTGTATATGCTTTCCTAAATAATTTGAGTTTGCCTGGAACTTTCTAGAAATGCATACTAAGTTTAATCTTTTGTGACTGGCTTCTTTCTGTTCAGCATTCTTTGGGATTAATTTATGTTGTTGCACATGGCTATAGTTCATCTAAATAGGTATATAGTACCCATTATGAATAAACTAGTTTACTCATTCTACTTTTGAAGGATATTTAGGTTCTGTAGTTTTTGACAACCACTTACCATGTTGCCATGAGCATTCTTCTGCATGCCTCCTGAGGTATACATAAACAACCTAGTAAATGGTCACACATGCCAGTTTACACTCCCACCAGCAGTGTATGAAAATTCCTGTTTCCCTATATCCTCAGCAACATTTGCTGTTGCCAGTTTTTCTGAAATGAAGTACTACTTTTCTTTTTTTTGAGATGGAGTTTCGCTCTTGTTACCCAGGCTGGAGTGCAATGGCGCAATCTTGGCTCACCGCAACCTCTGCCTACTGGGTTCAGGCAATTCTCCTGCCTCAGCCTCCTGAGTAGCTGGGATTACAGGCACGCACCACCATGCCCAGTTAATTTTTTGTATTTTTTTTTTAGTAGAGACGGGGTTTCACCATGTTGACCAGTATGGTCTCGATCTCTTGACCTTGTGATCCACCCGCCTCGGCCCCCCAAAGTGCTGGGATTACAGGCGTGAGCCACTGCGCCCGGCCTACTTTTCATTTGATTTCCAGGTCATCAGCTTCCTTGATTCTTCTAGCTCTCTTGCCATATCCTCAGTTGTCTTTGTTCTACCTCATCTTCCTGACTTCTGAATATTAAAGTGTCCTTGGGTTCAGTCCTGACTATTTCTCTTT